CCCTACCCTCAACCCCCTTCCCTCTGGTAACCAACATTCTGTTGTCTGTGTCTATGAGTTTCAGTTTTATACCCCACATGAGTGAAATCATATGGTTCTTAGCTTTTTCTGGCTTATTTTTGCTAAGCATAATATTCTCAAGGTCACATGTATCATAGAAATATACACTTGAAACCCATATAATCTTATTAACAAACTAGAGGCCCGGTGCATGGATTTGTGGGGGATTGGCCAAAACTGGCTCTCCAACACCCCCCGAGGGGTCCCGGATTGCAAGAGGGCAGTTCTTGGGTGACACACCCCGGAATTGGGCTCCTCCTCCGGGGTGCATCACCCAAGAACCACAGCTGCCAAATCACTGCAGCATAGCAGCTCCTGCATTGAGCTTCTGCTCCCTGGTGGTCAGTGCATGTCATAGCTACCGGTTATAGTGTCTGCCCCCTGGTGGTCATTGCACATCATAGCTACCAATCGGATGGTTGAACTGTCGCTTAGGCTTTTTATATATAGACTAGAGGCCTGGTGCACAGAAATTTGTGCACTGGGTTGGGGGGGGGTGAATCCCTCAGCCCAGCCTGCGCCCATTCACAGTCCAGGACCCCTTGGGGGATGTCCACCTGCCGACTTAGGCCCACTCCCTGGGAGATCAGGCCTAAGCTTGCAGTCAGACATCCTTCTGGCAGCCAGGGAGCCCTCGGGGGATGTCCAACTAAAGGCTTAGGCCCCCAAAGGATCAGGTCTAAACCTTTAGTTGGACATTCTTAGTGCTGCCACAGAGGTGGGAGAGGCTCCTGCCACCACCTCTGCGCTGGCCAGCCATGAGCCAGCTTCTGGCTGAGTGGCACTCCCCATATGAAAGTGCACTGACCACCAGGGGGCAGCTCCTGCACTGAGCGTCTGCCCCCTGGTGGCCAGTGCGCATCATAGCAACTGGCCATTCTGCTGTTCAGTCAATGTGCATATTAGCCTTTTATTATTATTATATAGGATGTCCCTATTTTCCCCCTTTTGCCCCTCTACCCAGCTCTTGCCCCCCACTTCTCTCTGGCCATCACCATACTGTTGTCTGTGTCCATTGGTTGTGCATATATTTTCTTTGGGGCTGGGCTGCCTCGCCGCCCGGGGTCTTAAGAGCATTTTTTTTTTTTTCACAAATGAACACAGTGGAGGAGTCACGCACACCCCTTTTTTTTTTGTTTTTTTTTTAACTTTTTAACATGAGGCACAAAAAAAGATTCTCTTCGCATGCGCTGTTTTACAGCTACAGGCGGAGGGGAGAATGGCTTCCAGGGAGCAGCCTCGAGGCAGTCACGGCCCCCACCACCTGGGATGGAGGAAGGGGAGGCTGCAAAACGGCCTCGTCCGAGCTTAGCTGGACGCCTGCTCCGGGGCTGCCCTGGACGTTCCCGGTGCCTACGGCCCAAAAGCGGGCTGAGCCCTTGAGGGAACCTTCTGCCCCAAGCCTTCCGTCTTTTCAGGGCTAAAGTCTCACTCTTCCTATCCACCAAGTGTAGCAGCCGCTTAAAATCTAAGGGGTGACCCCAGAACCAAACCTCGTCTGTGCCATGAACGTGAGGCCTGGCTGCCCAGGGGGTGGGCATGACTTTTACAGCCAAGATGAGGGGAAGGGAATAAACTACGTGCGACTACAACATCTGAAGTAATATTTACACTTGAAAACCTGGGGCGGGAAGCTTGGAACAGCCTCGCAGCTGGGCGACCTGCCCTTTTCCTTCACTTGCCTGAAGCCGCACCTCCTCTACCTCGAGCTCCTCTCCTGCCCCTCGCATCCTGAGGGGAACACCAGGCCTCAACACTGGTCTCTCCGGATATAGTGCCGCCCTGCTCTGAGCCACGCCCCCGCCTCTCTGTACACAAACATGGTGCCGCCTTGTGCTTAGCCACGCCCCCTGCCTTTCTGCACAGAAAATGGCGCCTCCCACCTTGGGCTTAAGCCTCCAGGTGAAGAGCTGCCTCCCGCTTCCTGACACAGGGCGGGCACCCCCCGGCCCCTGGGTCCCCTTTGGGGCCTGGGGGCGTCCCCCCCCCCCCCCCCCGCCCCCCGGGACCGGATCGCGTCCCAGGTGGCGACACAGCCCGGCCTCTGGCCCCGCCTCTGGGTCTTCTCCGATCACTGGTAATCAGTGATCTGGGCCCAGGGCCGCCTTTGCCCTGCCACCCGGCTCTTGGCTGCCACCTGGGTTTCCGATCACTGTCAGCAGCAGGTGGCTTCTTCGGCTTCTTCTGTTCTTCCCCTTTCGCCTCCCAGCATTGCGCCTATGTATGCAAATTAACCGCCATCTTTGTTGGCAGTTAATTTGCATATCACCCTGATTAGCCAATGGGAAGCGTAGTAAAGGTATGGTCAATTACCCTTTTGTCTTTTATTAGATAGAATTAGAGGCCCGGTGCATGAAATTCATGCATGGGGGAGGGGGGGGGTGTCCCTCAGCCTGGCCTGCACTCTCTCCAATCCATGACATCCCTCTCACAAACCTGCCTGCCTGTCTGATTGGCCCCTAACCACCTCTGCCTGCCGGCCTGATCGCCCCCTAACTGGCCTCCCCTGCCAGCCTGATTGCCCCCTAACTGCTCTCCCCTGCCGGCCTGATCGCCCCTAACTGCCTCTGCCTCAGCCCCTGTCACTCTGGCTTTGTCCGGAAGGATGTCTGGAAGATGTCCAGTCTAATTAGCATATTACCCTTTTATTAGTATAGATGTCACACCAATAAATTTAATAGTAATAAAAATGAAAATAATTCTGGATAGTTTCCCTTCTCCACTGTGACAATGGATATTCTTACTTAAAGTCTCAATTCCAAAGATTTTGGGGGAATGGAAGGGAATAGCCACAGTACTGAAAAAAATCTTTAGCCCTTTAAAAGTAAATAGCATAATCTTTAGTCACCAGATATTCACAATACAAAATGTCTGAGATCAAGAGGACAGAAATATAAACAGAAATACCTATATCATTTTGCACATCTTATTTCACTTATTACAGGTTTGTATATTTACACCAAAACATTGATTTGATTTCTAAAAGGTCTGACAAGGCATAAATAAAGATCCCGCCAGGATCTGTCCAGTCACAAACACTGATGTTCAAAAAGAAACAATAAATAGACTTTAGGGCCCTAACTGGTTTGGCTCAGTGGATAGAGCGTCGGCCTGTGGACTGAAAGGTCCCAGGTTCGATTCCGGTCAAGGGTATGTACCTTGGCTGCGGGCACATCCCCAGTAGGGAGCGTGCAGGAGGCAGCTGATTGATGTTTCTCGCTCATCAATGTTTCTAACTCTCTATCCCTCTCCCTTCCTCTCTGTAAAAAATCAATAAAATATATATCTTTTAAAAAAAATAGACTTTAGGGACACCTACTGGCTTATTCAATATCACAATCTTTCAATATGGTATTAGGGACTCAGAATTCTTATTTCCAATTAAGTCACCACTTCAAACATTTATTTATTTGAATAATCCAATAAATGACAACATCTTTCCTCTCAAATTAAGAATTCCTTATGATTTTTGAGCCTTGACTAAATTACTATTACAGAGTGGTACTAAATAAATGGAGTAATAGCCCTGCCATTGCTTAAAAATTCAAAGCTCTTTAGTATAATAACCAGTAAAACAATTTACTGTGTTGTATACATATTTTATGTGTAAGATATTAAATAAGTATACATAAATCTCAGATACCGTCCGTTTGAGTAAGTTATATAGCAGAACTACATGTACTGAAGCTACCCAATAACAAAGGATACACTCTTTTGGAAGATTCTCTAGTTTTTCAAGATTACTTTTCAGTGAAATTTGTGTAAAACTATGTTTTATGTAGATTACCAGAAGCAAAACAGGTAATGCTGGCTCTACCTATCTTCCTCATTTCTGTTATGAAGGCCAAGGAATAATATATATAAAAAAGATGAGATTTCAAAGTTAAACTGCTTTATAAGGAATTAAGTTACTACCTCATTTCAATTAAGCCAGAAAAATCACTTTTATGTCATTTATTAAGATATAAAAAAACTAAGTGCATGACTTAAAATCATACCCTCTTGTCATTATTAAAGAATCTTCCTGTGATTAGCTAACAAATTATATAAACTGAGAACCTAATTAATATGACTTTAATATTCAAGCAATTCAAACAGCTTTTCTATTTGAAAGTACAACATGTTTATTAGAGAAAACATGTTGTGCCCTAACCGGTTTGGCTCAGTGGATAGAGAGTTGGCCTGCGGAAGAAGGGTCCCAGGTTCGATTCCGGTCAAGGGCATGTACCTTGGTTGCGGGCACATCCCCAGTAGGGGGCGTGCAGGAGGCAGCTGATCGAGGTTTCTCTCTCATCAATGTTTCTAACTCTCTATCCCTCTCCCTTGCTCTCTGTAAAAAATCAATAAAATATATTTAAAAAAAAAAAACATGTTGTCTGTGTCTATAAGTTTTAGAAAATTGAGGCAAAAATAAAAATTGCTTACGTTCTTACCATCAGAAGTTAACATTATTTTAGTGTATTTATCCCTAGTGTATGTGCTATACATTTATAAATATACATTTTAAAACCAAAAATCAAGCATGTATATATGCAGGCACGCGCGCACACACACACATTTTGTTAACATTTCTTGTATCAGGAACATTATCCTATGTCAATAAATATTCTTTGAAACTGTTTTAAATGGCTGCATTCTAAAGAATATTTCTAAGGCATGAGACCAAATATTTAGAAAGATAAGGTGTATACCACTCACTCACTGTTAGCAGTCAACTTGGCAGTATTTATGTCATAACCCATGATACTGCAATTCCTAAGAGAAAATCCCAATTTATGCAAGAAGGCACTTACAGAGATAACAGGTAATGAAGTCACCCCTGGAAAGGGGAACAAGATGACACAATGAGGGATGGAAGTAGGAAGACCACCACCTTTCATTATATGCCCTTTTGTATTCCTCCCTTTAATGCCTCCCTAGGGCACGGAAGCAGTACTTACCAGAATTTTATCAGCTTTGGCTTCACTAATCCCCTTAATATTTATTAGCTCCTTTTTCGGTGCATAGGCCACAGCCTCCACAGTATGGAATCCAGCTTCTTCCAATTTCTTCACATCATTGGCATTTATGCCACATTGCTGCGAGTGAAGAAAACCATGGGTTAATTTAAACTTCAGTTTTCTCATCTGTCTAATCTGGATAATTTGCCCTATCTACTCACAGAGTTGTTTGGAATACAAAAGCTTTGAAAACTGTGCCCTAAACATAAGGTATTTAATTACCAAAACCAGGAGTTTTAGACTAGAACTATTCCATATACATTAAGTGGATTAAACTAGTACCTTCTAACCACTGGAAATAAACCTGTAACTCTCAACCTTTTATAACTGGGACTTTAAATGAACTTTGAGACCCTGGGTCCTAAAAGGCCACTTTAAGCCAGTATTTCCCAATGTTTTTTCCATCAAGCACACATAAAAAATGCTATTTTTTACACTAAACTGGGGTTAGGAGATGAGGCTGCCCCAGAGCTGAGGGGAGCACTATCTTAGCATATCAATAATCTTTTTCGAGCCCTAACCAGTTTGGCTCAGTGGATAGAGCGTCGGCCTGCGGACTGAAGGGTCCGGGGTTCGATTCCGGTCAAGGGCATGTACCTAGGTTGCAGGCTTCTAGATTTTGGGGGAATGGAAGGGAATAGCCACAGTACTGAAAAAAATCTTTAGCCCTTTAAAAGTAAATAGCATAATCTTTAGTCACCAGATATTCACAATACAAAATGTCTGAGATCAAGAGGACAGAAATATAAACAGAAATACCTATATCATTTTGCACATCTTATTTCACTTATTTGCACATCTTATTTCACCCCCTGGTAGGGGGTGTGCAGGAGGCAGCTGATCGATGTTTCTCTCTCATCGATGTTTCTAACTCTCTATCCCTCTCCCTTCCTCTCTGTAAAAATAAAAAAATAATCTTTTTGGAGAAAAAACAATTTTTTTTGTAATACAATGACTAGAAAGTTCTGCTCTAACCATTGACACGGAGAATGGGGAAAACTGCTTTTGGTCACAGACTTGTATATCACTTCTTTCTCCCTATATACAAAGTCAGCTTTGATTTTATTAGCCACCGAAAGCATGACTTCTGGGAGAGTATGAGTTGGAGGTATGCGACTGTATTAGGGAATCAGGGTAGGTTTGGGAGATGAGATAATAATACTTGCCCATAGAAACCATGTCTGCTATTAGTATTTAGGCAATAAGCAATACACGTGTGCATATAACGCCACAGACCTATTTGTAACTTCTGGAGTCTTGAAGCCTAGCTGGGGATGGAAATAACATGCATAAAGAGACAGAAAAATGAAGGCTTTCTCTAATTTTCCTCCTACTTCAGCCGATGTACCTGCATTCACACTGGGGCCTCCGTATAATGAGCAGAAACAGTGCAAGGCCCTGGCTCTAGTGCTGGATGTTCTTGTGCAGATTCCTGAATAGAGCCGGGCTCTTATACCTTAACTAGAGGCCCAGTGCACAAATTCATGCACCAGTGGGGTCCCTTGGCCTGGCCTGTGGGATTGGGTGGAAACCGACTCTCCAACACCCCCTGAGGGACACCGGATTGCGAAAGGGTGCAGGCCAGGCCGAGGGACCCCACTGGTGCACAATCAGGGCCAGGGAGGGATGCAGGAAGTTGGCCAGCCAGGGAGGGACCACAGGAAGGCACCAGGGCGTGTCTGGCCCATCTAGCTCAGTCCCGATCAGCTGGACCCCAGCAGCAAGCTAACCTACTGGTTGGAGCGTCTGTCCCTGGTGGTCAGTGCACATCATAGTGAGCGGCTGAGCAGCCTTAGCATATCATTAGCATATTACCCTTTGATTGGTTGACTGGATGACCGGATACTTATCATATTAGGCTTTTATTATATAGGATAACTACAAGGCCTTCTCCTTGACCATGACAGTTGTCTTGCTAGTAACTTCAGCACATATCTGGGTCTTTCCTCTCTGCATCACCAGTCAGGCCACTGTAATTCCCTGGACAGTTGTTTAATACAACTATTGTTTAATACTTAGTACAAACAACAGACTCTACCATGGGACACTAGGGCTTCTTCATTTCTGACAATCCAGCTCTGAGAAAGAAAAGTGACAAAGTAGGAGGAGAATTCTTGACAAGAGATCTGCTCTGACATGTTTTGCAACTATCTTAAGCCTTTCCACAGGAGCCTTGACAACCCTTCTGAAAACTAATTTGGGTCTTGATCACAGGTATAAAGCAATCTCTATATATAAAAGCCTAAGTGACTGTTATGACCGAACGACCTGAATGACCAGTCGCTATGATGCGCACTGACCACCAGGGGGCAGACACTCAGCGCAGGAGCTGCCCCCTGGTAGTCAGTGCACTCCCACAGCCAACCTCCCCCAGCCAGCCAACCTACTGCGGTCCCTCCCCGCAGCTGGCAGGCCCTGGCTGGGATAGGGAACTGGGGGTGGGTAGCGGCGGATGCGACCCCTTTCCCAGGGGGCGCCGAGGGCCGGCTCCCTCCTTGGGGCTGGTGGCCAACCTCCTGTGCCCTGTCCCTCCCCCCTGCCAGCAGGCCCCAATCAGTCCGCTGCCGACCCACTGTGGTGGCGGCACAGTGGTGAGGGAAGGACGGGGGGAGGAGGGGAACCACAGGGTGGCCTAGGGACCCCACCTGTGCACAAATTTCGAGCACCGGGGCTCTAGTGGTTTATATAAAGGCTGTGATTTTTCCCAATAGGTAGAAGAATCTAGACCAGCTTTAAAATTCCCAAATTAGCAATTAAGCACATTACCTCTAATCGTGAAATAGGTTGTGGGCCAAAGCTCTCTTCTTCCACTGAAGTATCTGCATTTGCTTCAAGCTGCATCTGCATAGCCATTACTCAGCGTTCAATACTGAAAAATATAGATGGCCATCAGGGAGAACACTAGAAAAAGTACAGGGCTGCAAACTTATGTTTGCAATAAATCTCTTAAGAATTACTTCCTAGGCTTTTGGTGTAATCATTGACCTACCTATTTCAAGAAAAAAAAAACAAATCTCTCACCAGCTTTCCCTTCCACCTAGCTAGTTGTATCAGAAAAACTTTAGGAAGAGCCAGGACTATTCTGTTTCTTAAAAATGCAAAGCTTAGCCCTAACCAGTTTGGCTCGGTGGATAGAGCGTTGGCCTGCGGACTGAAGGGTCCCGGGTTCAATTCCGGTCAAGGGCATGTGCCTTGGTTGCGGGCACATCCCCAGTGGGGGGTGTGCAGGAGGCGGCTGATCGATGTTTCTCTCTCATCGATGTTTCTAACTCTCTATCCCTCTCCCTTCCTCTCTGTAAAAAATTAATAAAATATATTTTTTAAAAAATTGCAAAGCTTAACTAGATCAACTATGTCCCCATTCCCCTCCTTCATATTCCCTGAGGGTAGGGCCAAGCCTTTTTTGTTTGTATATACCCCATGATACATAATAAATGTTAGGTGTTGGGTAAATGAATGCAGACTTTCCAAGACTCTACTTCAAGGCCCACAACGAATATTTTTGTGGCCCAATGTAAGAAACATTTTAATAAAAATTTCGTAACTTATTTTTTACAATATCCTGTTATGCATAATTATTAATAACGAACTACAACATTTGCTAATGGCTGATTACTATAATCGTGTTGCATTCATTTCCCTTACGCACCTTACATGCAGGTGCACCATTTCTCTCCACTAATACTAGCAGTGAATATTTTAGCAGCCAATTGCCACATCATTAGTCTTGGACTGACTTGTATGGTGTGCGCAACAGGAAATATTTCACTTTCGGAGAACAAGAAAAATAGGTTTACGTACGTTACGCTTATTAATTTGTGCAGTTATTCCTTGTCTGGTAAGCTAATGTTCAAGAAAAAATATTAACTTTTATTAAAATGTTCCATTATTTTATGTTAATGATTACTCATTTATTTCAGCCCTTTGAATTCAGCATGTCTCTATTGAAATAAACCTACGTTTCTATGAAAATTGAAGCTTGTTTTTTTTGCGGCCCACATAAGCTTAAACCTTGTTTACTTGGCCCGTGTTAGCCTTTGAGTTTGATGTGCTTGCTCTACTTAAAATGGAAAGAAAAAAATTTTTTTTTTAAATGAAAGGTTAAATTGCTTCAGTTCCATTGTTCCCTTCCAGCAAGGAGGAGCTGGAGGTGGTGGGATAGGACTGAAATAAATGTACAGAGTGACTGCCCATAGCCTCCATTCCTGATACAGTGGACTGATATGAGAGAAGTACTTCCCATCTTAGGCAAGGATCATAGCTTGTAGTTACACATTATGCTCCTAACAGGAGTGTATGAAATTTAAGTTCAACATTTTAATCAATTCCATACTTCAGGGAATGTGCAATGAATAAATAACATGCAAGTACCCTGCTCAGTCTGAAATCTTCCATTTAAGCATAAGGGCTATACCTAAAGTGTGATTATTACGATAGAGTTAAGATTGCTCAGGTTGAAAAGAAGAACCGAGAACAAAAATTTTTTTAAATTATCTTCAAGAGATTTTATTAGTAAAAGTGAACAAGTCTTAATGTCCACAAGAATAAATGGCCTTAAATCAAACCAAAACAATCTGGACAATTTAACAATCAGGATAAATCTAATTCAAAAGATAACAGATATGAAATCTCCATTCTTAGAGACTTGACAGTTGACCATTTGTTCTTGATTGGTTCAGGTACAGGCCTCTTAGATGGCAGTTTTAGCATAATTCAAATATTGAAATTACCTGAATGCAATTTAAATCTCTTCCTTAATAATTTATGAAAAAGATGGCACTGCAATTAACCAGGAAAGGATGGTCTTTTCCATAAATAGTGCTGAGTTGGTTGGATAGCCTTAGAGAATAAGAAAACAACAGGAAAAAAATCTGTTTCCAATTTAGAGATTATAGATCTAAATGTAAGAGGTAAAACAAAGCTTTTAGAGTATAGGTGAATATCTTCATGATGTTGGGACAGAGAAGATTTCTTGAATAGTATACATAAAGCAATAAGCTAGAAGGAAAAGGTTGAAAAACTAGACTATATGCAAACTCAGAAGTTTTAAGTTTCATTAAAAGAGACCATTAAGCCCTGGCTGGTTTGGCTCAGTGGATAGAGCCTCCGCCTGTGGACTGAAGGGTCCCGGGTTTGATTCCGGTCAAGGGCACATGCCTGGGTTTCGGGCTCGATCTCCAGTAGGGGGCGTGCAGGTGGCAGCCGATCAATGATTCTCTCTCATTATTGATGCTTCTATCCCTCTCTCCTCCCTTCCTCTCTAAAATCAATTAAAAAATATTTAAAAAAAATAACAAAATAAATAAAAGAGACCATTAAGAGAATGAAAAGTAAAACTACAGTGAGGGAAGAAATATTTACCACATATACAACTAAGGGTTGATAATTCAATTATATAATAAAGAACTCCTCCAAATCAGCACAAAAGGCAATTCAAAAGAAAAATAGGCAAGAAATTTGAATAAGCACTTCACACTAAAAGATATCAAAATGGCCAATAAATATATAAACAAATGTTCAACCTCATTAATAGTGAGGAAAATTAAAATGAGGTATTACTATATACCCACCAGAGCAGCTAAAATTAAAAATATTGACAATATCGTGTTGGCAAGCATGTGGAACTAAACACTCTCACAATGCAGTACTGGCTCTAGTATAAAAATGGTACAACTTTGGAAAAGACATTAAATGTGAAAGCTGAAATAGACAAATGCTATGGCCCAGGAATTTCACTACTTTATATTATTAACGGGCTGAAAAGCATACACGTGTACACCCAGAGGTACACAGGAATGCGCTCAGCAGCCTTTCTCATACAAGTTAAAAAACAGAAACAACCCAAATGGCCGCCATGAGTACAATAAGGAATATCACAGAACAACAACAAAGAACTACTGCTATATGCGAAGACATGCAGAACCGAAAGACAGAACACTGAGCCAAGTCAGACGTGAAAATACATAGTATTACTTAAAGGAGCATTTGAGATCTTGCTTCCCGGCATATGTCGTCAGTTTGGCACAAATAAACTCATAAATTAATACACACACACACGCATATATTTGCTTATATAAAATTCAGAAACAGGCAAAATTAGTCTGTGGTCTTAGAAATTAACAGTGGTTGCCTCTGGAGAGAAGAGGGGAGCGTATCAGACGAGGGGGCACAGGGGCCTTCTGAGGTGCGGACAGCATTCTATTTTCTGACCTGAGCGGTGCTTATAGTGATTATACAGGTCAGAGGGAGGGAGGCAGGGAGGGAAATACTGATTTGTGGTTCCACTCGCTTCTCGTAAGCGCCCAGACCGCCCAGACCAGGATCAACCCACAACCTAGGTGTATCCGGACGCTCTAACCAACGGGACTATCGGCCAGGGCCACACTTGGCTTTAGAAGTTTAAAGAACAGCAGCTCACTACAGGTCATTCCCTAGGCATCACGCGGACGGCCTTCCGATTGGAAATGAAAGTATCTTTGTGGCAACTGGGGTAAGCAAGGCCTGGTGTAGTGGAAGGACTGCCGAGAAACCCGGGAGCCCTGGCTCTAACCCCAAACAGCTGTGATTTTCAGTCTGTGGCCTCGGCCTCCGCGCCCACGCCCACAAACGGGCGCTGGAAATGAGGGCCTCAGAAAGGCTCCCCCCACCCGCTCCACAGACCCGCCCGCTTCCGTTTACACCATAACGAGCTCGGAGAGTCTGCTGCGCCCGGGCATGTCCCGCCTCACACTCGGCGGAGGGCCCCAGAAGCCGGGTGGGGAGCTCGGCCCGGTCCCAGCCCGGCTGTCGCGGGGAGGGACCTGGCGGGGAAAGGGCGCCCGTCCGCGCCTGACACTCTCACCTGGGCCGCAGCTCTCCCGGCGGCGGCGGGATGCCCGCTCCGACCTCCGCCCGCTGGCCCGGCAGGCGCCCGCCCCTGGACGGACTCCAGACGCCCTCGCTGGCGCCCCACTTCTCTCCTCCTTTGCTCCGACCTTCTGCACACAACTCAAGCGAGTTTCAGCTCCCAACTACGCGCCGGGGGGGACGCCTCTGCTCCCCTCAGGCCTCAGCCCCAGTCACAGTGCGCGCTCTGCCCAGGCAGTTTCGTAAATCCCGCCAAACCCTCCCGGGCAGGGTCACGCCCGCGTCAACGTAACGTCTCCCCGCCCTCCTCGGGTCCGCCTTCTAGCCTGTCCCGCCACTGCTCGCGAGCTGGTGATAAGGCCAAGGAACTCGACCTTACATGATACTATGTACTGCCCTCTTCCTTTTATCCCTTAAAACTAACTCGAAATTTGGGAGTTGCCGCCTTCTCGTTATCAGATTGAGGACTACAACTCTCAAGAGGCAGTGGGGTCAGCTAGAGACTACATCTCCCAGTATGCACCGCCCGCGGACTGGGCGGAAGTGTGTCCTCAGCCTCTCCCGGAAATAGCCTCGCCCCTGAGAGCTACCCATGATTAACTTAAGTATCTAAATGTGAGCTGTTGGTGCTTTAGGTAGCTCTGGGCCTCTCTCACTCAAATTCCTGGAGCCAGGCGCTTTCCAGATCTCTGGAGGTGGTGGAGCTGAGGAAGCCAGAGTAGGTGGAGAAACCTGGAAATCAAGCGCGTGGAAGGGATAAAAAAAAGAAAAGAAAAAGGTAACTGTGCTGAAGATTTGCAGGACTGCAGAGGAAGGAAGGAAGGAAGGAAGGAAGGAAGGAAGGAAGGAAGGAAGGAAGGAAGGAGGAATTGATTTAACATGGTCAAGGAACAGCATTGTCTGATGAAGGGAACGTGTCGTAGGAGGTTCTGAGACTGGAGTTACGTTTTAGTTCAGGCTATGAAGAGTTCAGGCTATGAAGAGGCTTAAGACCATGTATGGTCTTCAGTCTTTATCTAGGAAATGGGGAAATCACTGAAAAGTATTTTAAGTAGACGAGTCATATGGTTAGATCTGTTTCCCCACCAACATTACTTTACATTTATGAAGTGGTTTAAAGTTTATAAAGTTTTCATTTAATCCTCACACCATTATCTTGTGGCACTGCAGGATAAATTTCAGGAGACAGTCGAGAGCAAAAGCTGTTAGGAAGTTCTTGGAGTACTTCAGGCAAGAGATGAAGGCTTGAGTTAGAGCAATGACAAGATTCAGGAAGCATTCTGAAGTACAACCAACCTAACTTAGTAATTATAGATAGTACCTGGGGATAATGAGCTGCCTTCCATACCAAAGACACCCACATTTACCTCCCATTGTTCACATATATTCCTCCTTAGAGCATCTACAAATCCATAGGCCCCCACCCCCCCCTTAACTGACTAAAGTCACATTTCTTTGACCTTTACTTAAATTTCTGTGGCTTTGTGGATGTTAAATGAGAGAAACCTCATCTGCAGAAAGATTAAGAAATTGAGAGATTGCCTTGGCCTGGTAGCATCATCTAATACCTCAAGGTTGAGAGTTCCATCCAAGGTCAGGACACATACAAGAGTCAACCAATGAATGCATGAATGAGTGGAGCAACAAATAGATGTTTCTCTCTCTCTAAAACAATCAATTAAAAAAAGGAACTGAGAGACTAAGCAAGTGGGAGAGAGTCTGAGAAAGAAACAGTTTTGAATTCTAACTGCTTTCTAGATCTCTCTTCCAGTTTCTTATGAACCCAATAGCACTAACTGCTCTTCAGGTCTATAAGGCCCTACACTCCAATAAATCTACCTTTTTTTCCTGCTTAAACCAATTTGAGTAGTTTTCTGTTCCCTTCCTCCAAGACAACCCACTAAGAACTTGAGAATAAGACAAACTAGATTTCTCACTAGTGGTTAATTTAGCAATTCATGAGAATATTTATATAAATGTATAATTGAAAAGATTTTGATATATCCTTAATTATAACCTAAGTGACCTACCTGAAATCTCAGGGAGGCAACCTCTGGTAAGACCAAAACTCAATTAGCAGAAGCCTAAACTTTTGTCTGAAGAAAAATAATCTCATCAGCATAGTCAGCCAGGAACATTTAAAGAGAAATCCAGAAAGGGAAACCCAGTGTCCAAGTGACCCTTTTGAGTAGTGCAAGGATGATTCCATATTAGGAAGTCTTTTATTAATAATAACAGGTCAAAGAGACAAGATCATATAGTTAATTTCATCATTTTAAAACTCATTCAATAAAATTCAACATAAATTCCTGATTAAGGGAAAAAAGATAACGATATGTTTCCTAAACATGATCAAGAATAAATACAGACACTCCAAATAAGCTGCCATCATCTGCTTACTGGTGAAACATTAGAAACACTTTCATGAAAACCAAGAACAAAATAGTCTATTGTCATTATTTTTGTTCAGGAAGTGCCACTAAGTAATAAATAACAAAAGATGTAAATATTGGAAAAGATTTACAGATATGATTATATACCTGGATAGTTTAAGGGACAAATAAGAGATTACATTAGTGTAACTAATTACAAATATATAAAATATAAAAAGATGAGATCTTTACTAAGTGTTAACAATAACTAATTAGACAATGAGATAGAAAAAAAAATCCCATCCACAGTAGCAACAAAAACCAAATATCTAGGAATAAACTTTTAGAAATGCTCAGGACTTACATGGGAAAAATATCTAAAACTATGTTCCCAGAGGAGAAGGCTCAATATTATAAACTTGAAAATTCTTCAAAACCAGTAAATTCTCAATATAAATACCAATAGGATTATTGAGATAATAATCCTATTATTATAGGATTGCCTGCCCAACAGTCATTGCCCTTCTTTATAACTAAGAACCTCATGTGTAGAAAGATGTCAGTAGTAAGCTTTTGGATAACTTTGCTTTCATCTGTATTCTTTTTTGTCTTGTTTGAATTTTTGTTATAAATCTGTTTTGACTTTGTGGTGATTTTAAAATTGTAACAAAAATATAAAATCCCTTGAAATAAACTTAACAAGATAAGTGCACACCATATATGAAGGAAACTTTTAAGATATTAAAGAAGGACACAGAACAAATAAAACATACTATGTATTATATTGGAAGACTCAACATATTGAAGATATCAGTTACTCATGAGTTGATCTTTAAATTTAATGTAACAATCTCAGTAAAAATGCCAAAAAGATTCTTTTGGGAACTGAACAAGCTAGTCCTCACTTTTAATGTGTTAAAATAAAAAGCAAGAAGAGCCCGGCCGACATGGCTCAGACATAGCTCAGTGGTTGAGCATCAACCTATGAACCAGGAGGTCACGATTGCACCATAGGATTCCTGGTCAGAGCACACGCTCAGGTTTCGGACTCAATCCCCAGTGTGGGGAATGCAGGAAGCAGCCAATCAATGATTCTCTCTCACCATTGATGTTTCTATCTCTCCCTCCCTTTCTCTCTGAAATTAATAAAAGTTTATTTTTTAAAAAAGGCAAGAAGATCCAGGAAAATCCTGAAATAAAAGAGTCTGCATTGACCAGATAGTAAGATATTATAAAACTACAGTAATTAAAAGGTATTTGCACAAAAAATTTAGGTCAATGGAATAGACTATTTATCCCAGTGTCTTAATTTCCTATTGCTGCTATAACAAATTACCATAAATTTAGTAGCTTAAAACAACAAACATGTATTATCTTATAGTTCTGGAGGTCAGGATTCCTAAATAGGTTTCACTAGGCTAAAATCAAGGTTTTGACAGAATTGTGTTTCTTCTGGAGGTCCTACGAAAGACTCTGCTTTGCCAGTTTCTCCAGGCATCTACATTCTTTGAGTCAAGACCCCTTTTTTCTTCAAAGCCAACACTCACTGATCTCTGCGTCTATCACCGCACCTTCTCTAACATCCTTACAAGGATCCTGTGATTACACTGGGCCCAGCCAGCCAATCCAGGATAGTCTCCCCATGTCTGATTTTAAAAAAAGAACACAATAAAAACTCTTCCTTTTGGAAAAATTTCAAAGGATTGGGGAACATCAGAGCAAGAATTTGGTATAGTCTAGGACAGAAAGAAATTAAATTTGGCCTAAAAAACAGCTGCAGTAGTGGTTCATCAGGCTTCCCTAAAGCCTGAATGAAATCTCAGAATTATACTATCTCTAGTTACTTAGCTACCAAGCAAACCAATTTTTTATTTTGTAAAAAAAACAAAGACTACAGAAATGTTGAAAGAATGGTGCAATTAAACACCCATGTACCAATTACCTAGATTCATCAATTGTTAACATTTTGCTTATTTACTTTCTCCCATTTTCTCTCTTTCATACACACATATTAAGTTGTAGACATTATATCCTAATAAGGACATTCTCCCATAGAACCATAATACTATTATCACACCCAGGAATTAAACACTAACACAGTGGTTCTCAACCTTGGCTGCACATTAGAATCACCTGGGAATCTTTTTAAAATCCTGATTTCTGGGCCTCATCCTCCAGATATTCTGTTTCTTTGTTACAAATGTTGTGGCCCCACCCCATAACAAAGAAACAGAATTTCCGGAGAATGAGGCCCAGAAATCAGGATTTTAAAAAGATTCCCAGGTGATTCTAATGTGCAGCCAAGGTTGAGAACCACTGCACTAACACAAGAATATAATCAATCCTATTGTATTGAATAGTACATAGACACATTTTTTATTTTCACTTGAAGAGTTACATTTTGTATAAAAGTTTACAAATAACGGTTTTCATTTTGATTTTTTTCAGTATAAAAAATATTGCCTTGATGGCATATTATGACATAATGCTAATTGCTTGTAAGATAGTTAAATGTCAGTATTGAAACCTAATCCTTAGTGCCGTCTTGTAGATATGAATGTTCGCCAAGTATGTATTTTGTATTTTGTTGCATTGTACACTGCAACTAATAAGCCAAGGAATCGACATATATATTAGGTGCGTGTACTGTTTCTATAACCACAAACTAAGAATGATAAATTATCAATATAGTTTAGTATTTGCTAATTTTACTACTCTTTTGTTATGTATATGTAGGGAAGTCATAGGGATTATAAATTCAATTTGAGTAAAGTTTAAAACCATATATCCTATCTAATAGAGGGAATATGCAAATTGACCATCTCACTATAACAAGATGGCAGTGCCCACAGCGGGGGCAGGGCCAGCTGCTCTGCCCACCTGCCACTGCAGATCCCGTGGCCCCACAGGGGGC